CGGGCTTGGGCTTAAGGGGTTTAGGGGTGTAGGGTTTAGGGTTTAGGGGTTTGGGGGTTTAGGGGTTTAGGGTTTAGGGTTTAGGGGTTTAGGGGTTTAGGGGTTTAGGGTTTAGGGTTTAGGGGTTTGGGAATTGAGGCTCTATTGTTAAAAAGTTGGTCTTTAGGACTGATAAGATTTAGGGGTTTTGTGTTGTAGTGTTCCGGGCTTGGGGCTGAGAGCTGTGGAGTGTGGAGTTTTGGGGCTTGACTATTATCCCCAAAACCCATCACACCATCACAGTCTTTACATGGGCCCACAGGGGTTGAGGGTATCCTCTCGTCCCTGCTCTTGCTTCACGGTCTAGCTGGATGCTTGTCAGCTTCAGCATGCTCCGCGCACATGATCTGCACTGCACTCGATTGAACCTTCAACCTCGAAACCCAACAAACAACTGCAACGAAAACTCGTGAACTGTGCATAAAACCCTGCTATGCATCAAACAGAACCGTGTGGCAAACCGTATTGCACACGCTAACACACTCACAAAGTCAAACGACTCTGAGGTGTTTGACTTCGGGTGCGGCGTCCTGGGCTGTGCTCCCAAAGGTTTACGTGAGTGTTTGTTATTGAAACTGCTCAAACATGTTCATAAGTCTATCAGCAAAAGCCATTAAGTCTATCAGCAAAAGCCATTATATCAAGAAATGCAAGTCTTACATGTCAGAAAGGTCTTCTGCTTCGAGTCTTTGGGTTTTAGGGATTCCAAGTGCTTAGTGCTTGGATGAGCAAACAATTATAGGCAAGGAGCCATGCACCCACAAAGACGCCCAACCACGAATCCACATGTTCAGCTCACAACGGCTTCCAAAACCCCAGCACCAAAGCCACCAAAAACCCCACAACACCTTAAACCGTAAACCCTGAACCCCTAAACCCAAACTCAACATCCTAAACCGTAAACCCTAAACCTTGATAAACCCAAACTGAAGTAACCTCAAGGCTCTTTGGATATGTAGCATCCACTTTGCCACCAAGTCTCGTCAGTCGGGTCTCTGCATGGAAGTCCTTTTGGGCAGGTTCTGAGCCTTCAGCCTAAACCCTAAACCCTAAACCCTAAACCCTAAGCCTTAAACCCGAAACCTAAACCCTAAACATCCCTAAACCCTAAACCCTAGAGCCTAAACCTAAACCCTAATGCCTTAACCCGGAAACCTTAGATGCCCCTAAACCTTTCTCGGCCATACTTTCTCAAACCCTACCCTTACCCCTAAACCGTAGGTTTGCGATGTCGGAAGCCTGCGGCTTAGCTTTGAAGCTCCGTGTGCTGAGAGGGTCTGGGTTTAGCGATTCAAGGCTCCGGGGTTTCGGGATAAAGGCGCGGTTGGGCTATAGGGCCCTTGGATACTTCGGTTTAGGGTTTAGGGTTTAGGGTTTAGGGTTTAGGGTACTTGGAGGTAGTTAGAAGTGGGGTTATAAGTAAGGTAACGATAATTATAACCCATATTCGGAAACTTACAACCCCACTTATAAGTACCCATGAACCTCCAAGTATTTGCTCCACAGCCGGAGTTTGGGACCGTGACCATCGCCACACGTATGAACAAAACAACCTATGAATGCTTAGGAGAAGATCCATGCCAGAAATTACATAGACCCTGACTTTTAGCCACAAGGGAAAGGCGAAACTCTAATGCCGATACCACTTGAAGCAAACAACCCCTACCTTGAACCCTTAACCGTAAACCCTGAGGCCAAAGGCCCTGAACTCCTTCCACCCTAAACCCTAAACCCTAAACCCTGGGATGGGGTTCGCGTCCTGTAGCTGTTTGTACAAGGCCTCCGGAATGGCTGCTACCTGCTCAAGGGTTTAGGGTTTAGGGTTTAGGGTCTAGGGTCTAGGGTCAAGGGTTTAGGG